AATTTCTTCTGCTTTTTCTTTATATTCAGGTTTTACTATCAATACACTTTTCTTGGCTTCTGGGTAATACCCCCATTTTGGCCCTTCAACACGTAAAGCATTAAACCATTCTCTAACTTTAAGTATTTCACCGAAACATGCAGAATCATCAGCGTACCAGTTTTGCTTCCAATTTAGGCTTTTTAGTTTTTTTACCAAAGGTAATATGCAAATTGCATACATTAGCATGCCTAAAGGGTCTCCCTGAGTGGTTCCTTCTTGACTAAGGATGATTTTATTGCTTCCTCTAAACATAATGGTTGCATAGCCTTGGTATGTATTGAATAGGAAACGAGCGCAACGAGGCCAAAGCACCCTAGCATTCCACAGAGTTAAAGGCCTGCTCAAGGCGTTGAACGCATTTGAAGCATCTACAAGTAAAATACAATTTTGGTTATTTTCATTGAATAGGTCCGTCATAGCATGTATAGCACCTTCTATTCCAGCTTTCGTTCCGGCGCAGAGTTGGTCAGATCCACATATTTCTTGAACATCGTCACCTGTTACAAAAGCCATGGTTTTTGCACATAGTCTCTGCAAAACTTCTCCAACTCCTATTGGGCGAATACCAGGGTATTTGTTCAGTGCTAATCCTCTTCTAGCTAACAGAGCTCTGATCGAGTTCCAGTTTACTATCCCGTTTGCCATCCATCGAGTTAACGATGCAACTGCTTCCCTTAAACGAGTGCTATGTGCTCCATAGCGCAGCAACATATTCTTCCATTGATCAGCATTTGTTCCGCTAGGGCCAGCACTTCCATGCAAACGTCTAGCCATCTTCTCTATGTGGTCACTGGATATATCTACATCTACCATCAATGGTAAGTTCTCATCAGCTAGAAATGTATTGTCATTCGGAACCATTTGACGTGGATGCTTATTTTTTAAAACTTGAAAAACATTTTGACCATCAGGAAGAATATCGTCAGGTGTGAGTACTCCATCGCCGGAGCGATCTGTGAGCCATCTTGTAGCTTCACGCAATTTTCCTTGTAATACCAATCTTGTGAAGATTCTTATTTTCTGGTCTTCTTCTTGGTGTTCTTGTGATGTTTTCATTTGCCGATCACATCTCTCAGCTTCACGTATTAATTCATCAAATTGATCATTTTCCCACATTTCCATTCTTTTCTTCATCAAACGTCTTATGTCAGACCCATTTTTTATCATTTTATCTTTTTGAAGAATGGTAGCACATAAGAAAAATATTCTTTCGGTTGAATATTTAGTTGTGAATCGATTTCTATTCCCAAATAATTTATTGACTGTTGTGAATGAATTGTAGTTAAGTTTGTATTTACAATTATTTCTTGGTTAATATTGGATGCAGAAAACTGAATTAGTTGAGTTTTTGCCACATTCATGGACAGGCCATTTACTGCAAACCAATCCCCAAGGAGTTGAAATTCATTAGTTATTGAGGCTTGAATGAACTCATTGTTTTGTCCTGTGCATATTAAAGCGGTATCATCTGCATATTGAAAGGTGGACATCTTAGTAGCATTGCATAGATCATTAACATAAATAATAAATAAACAAGGGCCGAGAATGGAGCCCTGAGGAACTCCATTGGGGTTAATGTTCCACTCTGATTTATAATTTCTCTGCATTTTTTGTAAAATAAGTCTTTGTTTTCGGGTCTTTAAATATGATATGAACCATTTTAATTCAGTATTTTTTATTCCATGCATACTTAATTTTTCTATGAGTATCTCATGATTCACACAGTCAAAAGCCTTGGATAGGTCACATAGCACACCCACAGTCTTCTGCGATCCATCCAAGGCTTCCGCAATGTAGTTAATCATTTTTGTTATGGATTTTTCAGTACCGAGTTCTGGGCGGAAACCAAACTGTGAAGGATTTATTAAATTATTGCTTTCTAAATATTCTGTTAGTTGAATCTTTACAATTTTTTCAAAAATCTTTGAAAAACAAGGCAGAAGATATATCAATATCTAGGAAGTAAAACGAAAAGTATGTAACTATAATAATGAGATGCAGAGTTCATTAAAATGTTACAAATATTTTAATTTATTATCTTTAAAAGGTTATACAAATTTATAAACTGTGAAATAAAATGAAAAAATACAACACTTAACTGTAATATTTTATAGAATTTAAATGTTTTGCTAATGTAGGGAATTTTAAAGCTTACTATTTAATTAATTTGTACAGTATCAGGATCATTTTATCTGTTCAGCAATTTTTTCAAAGCACCTAACACCTAGTTAAAATTATGTCCATGAAAAATACTGTAAGGAGGTTGGAGTATAAAAGTTGATAAATCCAGTAGCAGGATAAAGTGCCCTTTGTGACCTTGTAGATAAGCAGCTAAGTTAACTATCTGAAGTCCAGTTGTTATCAGTTTACTTAAAACCAGCATGTCTAGGATTTTCATTGTGTCCACACAAGAATAATATTGAATAATTGTCTCTAACTTGACTCTTAATGAATTTAGTCTGTCCATCTAAAAACTTGTACCAATCAACGTAGCTTTATTTAACTTTAGCCAAATCGTCGAAGTTAGCGATCTGAATTATGTCTCCGCTGTCATTGTTTTTCCTCATAAATATTTTCGAGTTCATGATCCAAAGAATTCAAATTTTTTCCCCTTTTTGATTAGACTAGCCTCATAAAATAGCTTTTTGAAGAAAGGAGTCAAGTGATCATTTACAAAAACATCATTTGCGGGAGAACTTTCAACTAGAACATCAGATTTAATTCTTTCTTTTTAAGCCTTTTTCAAAAAATTGTCACGTTTTTGTCTGTTACTGAACTGTACGACAATCGGGCGAATCTTTTTATTTTTTTTGCTACTCACAGGAACTCTGTGTGCAGCCTGAATATCTTGTTCCACGTTGATAGGCTCATTGATAGCAGCTGCAATTTTACTCACTACGTGTAGAACATTTTCATTTTCAATTTCAGGTACACCTTCTACTATAACATTAGAATTACGTCCATATTGAAGCAGTTCCTCAAGTTGATTTTTTAGTGAACCAACTTCTTTGTTTAGCTTCTGGTTCTCCTCAGCTACTTTTTTACTACTCTTTTCTAGATCTGAGACCTGTTTTTCAGTATCATTTATTTTAACCAAAAAGTTGTCAATTTTATCAGAGCAAAATTTAACAGATCTTTCCAAATCAATGATTGAAACACCGATTTCCTTCAACTAACTTTCAATTGCATTTTGCACTATCTTTTCTATTTTCTTCTCAAGTTTTTCTAGAAAATTTTCTGTTAAATTACCTTGATTGTCCTGAAGCTCCGACACAGAAGAAACACTTAAAACACTCCCAGAGTCCTTTTTCAAATTTCTACGTAAAACACAACCGTATGTTTCACGCCTTGAATTTCCCATTTGTCGCCATGATTTTTCGGCAACACCAGCACAACCATAATGTAATTTACAACTACTAATAGCACACTTAACGTAATCATTATCAGGAGGTAACTCCTGTCCACACAAAGAACATAAATTCATTTTTGAGGAAACAACAGAGGCAGATAAAACAAGGATAACTGATGTGCACTGCTTGACTGCTAGACTGAGACTGAATTGAGCAGGTCTTTGTATTGCTTGAAGCAAACACCGAATTAAGCTATTATATGTTTTCTAATTCATAAATCCACTGACTGAGTTCTTGGAACTATTTTAAATTAAATTATACCTGATCAAAAGGTGAGACAAAATTCATGTATTATTTATCCACCCACACATCAGTAGGCCTAAGAAAAATTATCAAGTAACATATAACACTTATTCTGGTATAAAATGTAAAAATAAAAATATAAGTTGTTTAAAAATACAAAATAGAGTTTACCTTGTCTTACAGTCCATGTCACAGTCTTTGAGTCTCACTGCCTTTGTAACAAACTTTTGCTCTAAGGTTGTCACTGTTACATCACTGTCACTATTATTTGTCACTTTGTCACAGTTGAATGGAGCTTCTTTACTGTTTTGCAACCATCCAAACCAAGGTGACATTGTTCTTCCGGCCCATTGCACTACTTAATTACATCCGTTCCAGTTATTAGACTATAATTGAACATTTTCAATTACTGGTTGTTTAGACCTGCAAACCTAATACAGAAACTGAAATGACTTGTAGTTTTTAGTTTAAAATTTAGTGTTCAATGAAAGAATTAACTGTAGGATCCATTTTAGGGTTGTTTTAATCTTGAGGAAATCCAATCTAACCCTTTAAATATTAACAATATTTCTTTATATTTGATTCATACTTCAAAAAATAATGGCAGTGTAAAAATTGCATAAACGCTATAAACATTTTAGATAACTTTATTATTATTAAAGATGGGAACGCCACCTAGATGCGTATTTCAATTTCAGCCCAAATAAGAGTGTAGAATGGAGTGATGCTTTTTGTAGCTTTGTTACTATGACCAGCTTTTTCATTGGCCACGGTCATTTATTAAAAGTCAATTGATCGAGGACAGCTTGGTGTAATTATGAACTATCAAAAAGTAGTTTTGAAATTAGATGAAAAATATTGTTGTTTTCAACAGGCAAAGTTAGGGCCTCAGTTGTTATAGTAGTTTTACCATAAACAAAAATAATTAAATATAGACCGTCAGCTGTGCTGCGGTTACCATAGGTTCTGGTGCACACCACTGGGAGAGCCATGTAGTTACAGCATACGCATTACGTAACTACATGGCGCTCCCAGCGGTGTGCGCCATAACCTATGGTAACCGCAGCACGGTTGACAGTCTATATTTAATTATTTTTGTCTATGGTTTTACTTAGGAGTAGATAGTTTCCAAAAACATAGAAGCAGGAACGTGTTGATTTAATCCAGAATTGGTCGTTAAGTTAGAATTTTTTTCTCTACCATAAATGGGTAATAAAAGTCTGGTAAAAGCTCAATTATGTTTATTATAAACTTTTCTTAACAAAAATATTTTATTATTTATTTATTAACTTTGTGTTAGGATATTAAATTCTATTTCCAACACTTAGCTGCATAAGCCTAAGAAATGCAAGTCCACAGCATTTCTTGTAATACTTGTATGTTTTAACTTTATCTTGAATTGGTGAAACAGAACTTTTAACTGTACTAAAATAATATTTCCTACTTCTATAAATGGTCTATTTAATATTATGATTAACCTTAGTTGTTGATCAAAACCTATTATTCAAAGGTTAAAAACATACCTCTAAGGGCCGGATTTTTAGGAGTTGAGTGTTTTAATGATAGATACATTCGTTAATGATTCAGATTATGAGAGCTAAATTGCTGAGCAAAGCAGATCCCCCTGAAACATTCTTTTGGGCTGTAAACTATAGACTATAGTTAAACTTGTTAAACTAGTTAATTAAACTATAAAACTTGTTTAAGATTCTTGGATTCTCACACTTAATGGCTTGTATGTGGAAGAAATAATTAATGCGTCAAAGAACACCTTAAAAACCTAAAGCCATCACCAATAACGTCACAATTTTGATTTGATTCACCAATGTAGCCAGAGTAGATGATGTTTATACGTAGGTTTTGGTGGGGGTGGTGCCGGGGTGATCTCTGGCAAAGGGATGTGTAGCTTTGTCCAGTCTTGATACGAAATATAAGGGTCTGTGTCCCCGAGATGAAAGCCCACCACACCAAAGGTGGTAGCGTTGGGCGGCATGTAGAAGGAAATTCTATGGTTGTCTATCTTGATACAGTCAAAACTGAAACAGAGGGTTGACTCACAATTCCTTGAATTTTTTATAGGATTATTTATTTAATTATTATATTATAAATATGATAACTTATCCTCTGTTTGCCGAATTACGGTTTTAGGGGAAGAAACCTATCCCCTTGCCTTCATCCTACCTTTAAAACAATAGCGCAACGGCTGAGGATTGTCAAAATGTCAATCAACTGCAAAATATACATTAAGCAAAAAAAGTAATGGGGGAACTTCCCCTCAAACCGCCTAAATTTTCTGAACAGACTGTAGATATTTATGAAATTGGTGTAAGCTGTAAGTAGTGATGTGTTGGATCCAGGGGTGTCGGTCAAGGGGGAGTAAGGAGGAGCCATCCCCCCAATCTTCGGTGGAAAGTGTAAAAGTTGGGGATTTTTGAGTATTGGAAGCTATGAAGTTGGGATTTTGGGAAGTTAACCAAACAAACTACTAACCATTTAGTAGTAATAATATGTACAGTACAATAAAAAAAATTAGTAGCCTAATTAATATTATTCGTTCATCGATAATCACCTTTCATATTGCATAGACTGTGGACATTGAGCCATGTTTGAATGAATTTCAATGAAGAAAGATCTCTTAAGAAGAATCAACTTCTTGATTAAGAGTCATATTTTTATTGGATTGATAAAGCCATAGTCAGGACTCTGATAAGTCGTTACCGGTACATTAAAACATAGTGAATAATCTTAAGGAATCGGTGCGGTTAGGAATCAAGTGTCCAGCACAAACAATACATTACAATCTAAAATTGAGTTTGGTAACACGTCAACTATTTTATTAGATGGTCTGTCAAATTTCAACTCGGTTGATTGGTTGATATTGAAATGTCTCACCTGATAGAGAAGAGTATCCGCCGCATGGATGTGGCCTCGAGTCGCATGCAGAGACTGAGTCCGTTAGGATTGTGGTGAATGTCGTAAAGTCGGATGCAGAAACTGACGAGGGGAATGTACGGCGTCGAACTGCAGAATGGCAGCGGGTTGCGGCCTAGAAGAATCCAAAAAGTAAAATTACTGTTTACATTCATTGTGCTTTGTTCTTTGTCAGATGAATCAATTGCGCTATTGACACGACAAATTTAGTTTGGTTTTGATTTGATACTTTATCTAATGGTCATATTTAAAGATAATGAGGATAAAATAATAAGGGAAATATCGGAATCAAATAGTGATAAAAAGTTTTTTTTAACAATGTTGTTTGTTTCAAGAAAAGATTTGCTATTTAAATCCATGCTTTAGCCCCTGACCTGAAAAATAGGTTTTGCCTTCATATTAACACATACATCATACATTAATGTTTACTGTCTCTCTTACAGTTAGGGGTTTTGTCCTAGGACGGTAGATTTTTTTCACATTACTGCAGGCTAGACCTAGGGGTTACAGCAATATCGCTTAGATAAAATCCATTGGTGATTTGGCGGGATTTGGACCCGGGACCTCAAAGAGCCAAAGTCCCACGCTCTAACCACTAGACCAGCTCACTCCCCCAAGTTTCATACAGTTAGGGGTGGCGTTAGTTTGAGTTTCACAAGTAAATTTATTGACTCTTTTTACCTGAAAGCACTCGTGTGATGATTATGTGTCCGTTGATGCTGAAGGTCATGAAGATGGCAAAATCCCTGCTTACATACTCCATCTCCATGCAGCCTGTACATAGTGTTGACATCAATTAATTGAAAAATGTAATAAGCCTACTGGATTTAAACTAAGGATTTCATTTTTCTTTTCTCCTTGTTTTTTATTGTTATCTAGAAGGTAATACAGTAATTGAAATCTGTCCCTAAAATCTCATCACTTAATCAACTGATCGAGTCTTTTCCGTATCGTGGTTAAATGTTAACACTGCGTGGTTTGTTTTGTAATTTTATTTCAGTTTAAGCATAAGTTATTGTCCGGGTGGACAAGTGATTAGGTGCTCGACTTCAAATCTGAAGATTGCTTGATTAATTCCAATTGAGATCGTTTTCAGACCCATATACCATTTGTCTATGAATTAAGTTATTGATGCGTCTAATAACAACTATCTAACAACAATTTTGACATTTGATGGTAACAAAACCAGGGTTTGGACGTTTTGCTTTCAAAATGTACAAAATTGCCATTGGCGCTTAAAACATACATCACAAAAACACACAAAATAAGGTATGGACAGATCCAATGTAAGGCTGTATGGGGGCTGCAGCCCCACCTTTTGGTGTGGTACAAAAATTAACACTTAAAAAGTAGGTATGGTTTAAATAATCACTCTATGTTGTGCCTCCGGATTGCCACAAAATGTATGTTTCAGGTTATTATGTTCAAGATGAGATTACCCAATCTTCCCCGGCAGGATTCGTTTCCTACTGGCTGGATCCTCCCATGTTCAAGGTGTTTTTCTTTTAAAGGCATATAGAAAGGAAACCAATCCTTCTAGATTCAGATGTAACCAAATCTATTCATATTTATTTCTATTAAAAATATAGGCTCGAAATAAAAAATAAAACTAATTAGATACATTTGTAATTGTACAGGAATCACATACATGAAAGGTTGAAATGCTTATTTTTTTTAAGTTTCACCAAACCCATCATCATCAACCGTTACACAAAACTTCGCGATTGATAATTATCGATCTAAAGGTATCGAGTGACTATACTACCACTTTCTATACATTACCTTTAAATTTTTCCCTCCCAAACAGCTTGACGGAGTAGCAACATCCGCAGTACACATCGTGACAGTTACACAACTTGCTTCTCTGGGAAACCGTAACGGAATCATTCACCGCCAACTTCACAGGCTTGCTTTTCTCTTTGAAAAAGAACTCTTCATTTTCTCTCATTATTTCGAACATGTCCTCCTCCTTCTTGAAGAACTTATCATCTTCTCGTTCGCCGAAAAACTGTTCTACAGCTTCGTCAAAAGATGGTTTCTGAGTAGTTGGCGTGTCAAAGAACGGAAACATGTTGTCATGAAAAAACTCCTCCGATGAAATCTCTTTGGAATCTTAAAAAAATGTTCACCAATCAAAAGTTTTGATAATTTGTGTGTAAATGATTACAAGTTTAATACATAAACTCTGACATCATAGCAGATATAAATTTAGTGTGCAAATTATATGTGTATCTGAATCAAATGTATAGTATACCCATATTCTATGTACCGGTAATGCTATCATTTTGTGGTTCATTATCATTTGCTCGCAGCGCGAGCAATCGTAGTGGCAGCTGCACGAAGCTCATTTTGGCGGCAAAATTCCAGTCTGACTATTCTCCATAAGCATTTCGCTTCTTAAAGGGTTTGTATTAATTGGTTGAGAGGAAGCGGTTATATCCCCACCACTTCAGGCACAAAAATTGGGCCAAAAAACCTTACCCTTAAACCGCCTAAATTTTGTGAACGGACTATAGAACGTTTGCATCTAATTAGTATTGTAAAACAGCAAAACTTGAACTCAATCTATATAATTAATACGCTACATGAAACTTTGTCGGTTGAACTCCTCCGCCATTTATTAACCTATTTCATCCATTGACGTCTCACTGGAAAGAGCGTGTCGCGTAGATTTGCAAACTGGCCTTACATTTTTTTTAAAGTCCTTTGGGCTCTGCCCCAGTGGCTTTGAAAGTTCCCATGTTATCCTTATGAGGAACATAATTGTTTACATTTTGATCAGCTGTATAATTTAATTGCTGTTATTTATTTTTCAATTCAATGAAACGCATTGAGTACATTTGTTTACTATTTGAGTTTGTGTAAACATAACCCCCAAGACGGATCGTGTTAGTATGGTTTTATCTTAAATTTGTGTATTTATGGTTGTTTTGTGTCGCTATGACGGATCGGGTTAGCATGATTCTAACTTAAATTTGTGCATTTATAGTGTTTTTGTGTACCTATAATTTGTTTATTTGTTGTTGTTTTTTTCTTTTGAATGTCTCCGACGCGACGAAAACGAAACATAGACAGGAGGCGTAATCGTGATAACGACCGCAGCTACAGATCAGTGGCGCGTATTAGGCTTAACTCATCACAGTCGGCACCTGACCCTGGACACACTCAACTATTAGGTTACAAATGCGCCCTAACACTACCCCAAAACCACTTTTTGTTCTCAATTGGCCCTCTATCAATGACCTGTGTTGCCTGTACAGCGAGGCATTTAGAGAAGGAGAAAACCGGCCGGAATGCTTTAGGTTTATCAATAACGAAGATAAACATGGTCTGAGTTACACACCGGTAATCTTTGAGTTGACTCTTTTAAACTCATTGTAAATATGACTGTTATTCGTTTTGAAATAACTCCTGTAATACATTGCAATTGCTCGAATTCGAGCAACATGTACGCTAGTTTGGATAAATATTGGATTTGTTTGGAGTGAATACTAAAAACTGATAGATTCAGTTGTTGTGTGGGTGATTAGGTTAGGTTAGGTGGAGGTTAGGTTGCAAATTAGTAATGTTTGACTTTGGATACAAGTAGTCTTCGCTCCTACTGTGTACAATCTAAAGCCCGTTTTGATGTTTTTCATATCTGGTTAGTGGTTACATTTGAGCATATTTACATACAGGGTGAATAAAAAGTCAAGACCCCCCCCTCTAATATTTTTCCAAGTAAATATACAGAGATATCCTTTTGGTGGCCGAGCAATCTTAGCAAGAAGTTTCATTTTATGATTTTGAAATTTTTGAGTGTCCCCCCAAAAGGGGGGATTTGGGGGGTAACTCAAATATTTTAAATGTAAACCCTCTTCAAGTGACACCTCATTTTGAAGTGATTACAAAAACTTAAAGAATGGTGAAAACTAGAGGTCGCTATCTCTTCTCTATCCAAAATGGTAGCCCGTCAAATGTTGTGGAAAATCAACGGTAAAATTGTTAATATTGGCTGCCATTTTGGATAGAGAAGAGATAGCGAGCTCTGGTTTTCACCATTCTTTAAGTTTTTGTAAACACTTCAAAATGAGGTGTCACTTGATAGGGGTTATTTTTAGTTGTCCCCCGAATCCCCCCTTTTGGGGGACACTCAAAAATTTTAAATGTAAACCCCCTTCAAGTGATACCTCATTTTGAAGTGTTTACAAATACTTAAAGAATGGTGAAAACCAGAGCTCGCTATCTCTTCTCTATCCAAAATGGCAGCCAATTTTAACAATTTTACCGTTGATTTTGACGGGCTACCATTTTGGACAGAGAAGAGATAGCGACCTCTAGTTTTCACAATTCTTTAAGTTTTTGTAAACACTTCAAAATGAGGTGTCACTTGAAGGGGGTTTGCATTTAAAATATTTGAGTTGCCCCCCAAATCCCCCCTTTTGGGGGGACACTCAAAAATTTCAAAATGATCAAATGAAACTTCCTGCTAAGATTGCTCGACCACCAAAAGGATTTCTCTGTATATTTACTTGGAAAAATATTAGAGGGGGGGGTCTTGACTTTTTATTCACCCTGTACAAAATTGCAGGGTGCGCTCTATCCATTGGTTTAAATACAATAGGTTTATAATCTGATTGTTTAATTAGGTTCTGAAAATAGTGTTGGTGAAATAACAAAAGATTAATAATGAATATGAAAATACACTGCATGCTCAGGATAGAAAGAAACATACTTTAAATTTAAAATTGTGTTCAGCTAATCCACAAGAATGAGAAATTAAATGTTTGAGTATGTTTTATCCATGGGAGTAGTGAGTGGATGATGCTATTGTAGAATGTCATCATTGTCATACCATATAATTCTTTTAAACATTAAGTGTTCCAATGGCTAGCTGTTAATCCCTTTTACTAACTCAAAGACTTTTTAGACCTTCCTTCGTCAAAGTTATGTTTTAGTTGTCATTGTCTAACTATTATGCCTTCACCTTATGCCTTGTAGTACAACCTGTTTAATTTTGTAATGTTTTGCTAACTTTTAAATGGTTGTTTTTACTTCTCGATAGTGATAAACTCTGTGATGTTAGTTTAAGACCAATAATTAAATAACTTAAAATGCAATTTTTTTTGTAGACTTCAAAGTACACTTTGTAGTTTACTTCTCAATTTGACAACTGCTCTGCATGAAAAATGTTTGACTCTTCCAATACATTTGTAATATGTCTACTGGAAATAAACATGTCTTATGTCTTATGATAAATGAAAATTAATTGATGAAATCTAGTTTAATTATAGTTAATTACCTCCCAACATATCCAGGTTTAAGATGAAAAATAAAATCACCTTTATAATTGCATGGCCCAGTCCCGTTACTAATAAATCTGAAAGTAAACAAAGTGTTTCTTATAAACAAATACTTTGTGTTTATTAATCAGAAAATTAATTGATCAAAAGATTGAATTTGTTGTGTTAAAGAAGTGGTTTAAAAATTGTAAAACTTACTCATTTCTATATTCCATTGGACTTCATTCACAAGACACCATACTTGGGCAATGAATCATTCAAACAATCTAAATTCATCTCACAGACCTCATAAACTACTAATGAACACGACACTGATAAAATAGTATTTCTGTCATCAAAACCTTGTCAAACTATTGGATGTGGTTTGTGTGATGATGAACTATTTATTCTCTAATGGTCCAGTAAATGTAAAATTTACTTAGTAGATAGTTTATGATTTTTTTTTATTGATTGTATTTCCAGATGAGAAACCCCTGTTTTGAGGCTGTTTACAATTTGCCAACAGTATCTTTTAATTTAAAATGCATTAATTTATAACATTATGAGGATTTTTTATAGTAATTTAAGTAAAAAAGAAGTCTTCACCGGAAGTTTAAAATATATTTGTTATTTAAAGGCACATAATAGCTTGAACAAAATTTATTTTTGAGCACTTCTGAGCCTACAAAAGAGAGGTTTAATGCTGAAAACAATAAATGTGAATTATTGCAATGACAATATCTGTTTTGGTTATTGTAAGTTTGTGTTTTAGAGTTTTTCAAATGAATGGTAAATAAATTATATAAATATAAAAACTTCAACTTTATTATAAAACTATACAGTAAGATTACAAAACGTTGGTAATAACTAATAACAATATAAAAGAAAACAATTTGTGAATAAAACTGCAATACATATTTACAAATTGGCCTGATACAAAATTTGATTTAAGGCCATCATTTTCTTTACTCCCTACAAAAGTCAAACAAACCTACCATAAAAACATCAGATACAAATTTCACTAACACGGGTTTTTTCAGGAACTGTCTATATCATAATACAAAATGTGGATAATGTAGTATTAGGCCTACTCAAACAAAGAGGGACCAAACAAGAAACCGATACGATACAATACTCTCAATCACAACACAAATCAGAAGTTTTTTAAAGGCACAAAAATTTTGTTATATTAGCAAACTTTTTTTCAATTGTCTTCTGAGTCGAGACATTTATTGACATGGGCATTTATCCTCGATTCACCAAATCGCATTCCACAGATCATACAGGCAACTCTATTTTCAGGCTCGATGATTTCTATATCACTGTCATATTCAAATTTCTGCTTAGACGCATTTACAACGCGTAAAAGCTGAGGCGATTCCGTATCACTTATTTCAATCGGAGAATCCCTGGGAGTTGTTCCGTCGTGTATGAGGATCGGAGAATCCCTGGGAGTTGTTCCGTCGTGTATGAGGATCGGAGAATCCCTGGGAGTTGTTCCGTCGTGTATGAGGATCGGAGAATCTGAATGAAGGGTTACACCTGAAGCTTGGTTATACGCATCACTCGGAGACTCGTCAAACACATTGAGTATCCCAGACTCGGCCAAACATTGGTCCAGATGAATGTTAATATCCCCTTCAACATGGAGAGCGCAGACAGGGCAAAAAGTTATCTGGGATTTCTTATTTATTTCATTTACTTCTTCAACATCACCATCTTCATCCACAGTGCTGTTGTTGAAAACATTTTGTAGTCCTACGCAGTCCTCCATGTGAGCTTCTATTTCTTCTCGAGGCATACTCGTCTCGCAGACTACACATTTACACAAATCCTTCCTTTCATCAGGTTTATTACCAAGAGAATGTCTTGATTCCGGTTTCTTAGTTGATTCTGCATCAAATTTTTGTTTCTTCTTCTCTGGATGATCTCCAAGGCTCAAAAGCCGACTTCTAGATTTATCGATACCGGTACTGCCTCCCAAGGTAAAACCGGAACCTGAAAAGGTTTTAAAGGTGTCGATTCTCAATTTTGTGTTGGGGCTGGGAGTTTTTTCATCGTCGGTTTTGTTCTTGGTTCCTGACAATACCATAGTTCCTCCCCCTCGATTCGCCAACATTCCACCTCTAGCTCCTCGATTTGAAGGTACATTTCTTCCTTTGAAATTGTTTTCATTGCCCCTTCCTAAGACATGGCCGTTTCCTATATTCTTCGGAGATGTTTTCTGGGGAACTTTTGATCCGTTGGAGTTGGACAGATTGCCAAAACCCACGACTCTGTTGACTGCCGAGTTAGATGGTTTGACTGCGGTGGGAGATTGATTGGAGGCCAAGTTGTTGAAACCAAATATGTTACTTCCGACCTTCTCATTGGTTGACGTTTTTGATGATGATGGTAAGGAGCTTGACATATTGACTGGTTTCTTGAAAAAATTCCGAATATCTTTTCCCTCCTTGGGATTTTTCATTGCTGAAACAAACCAAAAATAATCTATAAAACTTTTACCATCCCACAAAAAGGTATTGGGTTGAAGTTGTATTTTTTTATACAGTAACAGCATTCAAAAGGTTTCACTGGGAAAAGCCTGCACTTAATTACATCCAAAGATTTATCAATTTAATCACAATAATTTTACCTAGAATGCATAAATTCTAAAATTAGGCTGCAAAATTGTAGAAACTGACATCATATTATTTTACAATTAATTGTTGTTATTACCTACTGTATTTCTTTAATGTATAAGTGGTACAAGTGACTCTATTCTTTAACCATTACATAAACGAATAAAGAGAATTATAATTTTGAATCATTATAAGATAAATTAAGTGTAGCCTACATTCAAGCTAAAAAACCAATAACTCTTCAGACCTCTAATTAGTTTTTATGATTACTAAACTAAAAATGTAGGTATGTTTTTTTTAAATTGTGTACTTCCACAAAATTGGCATTTTTAATGTTTTTGCCAAGGGAACTGTCCAAACCCAAGTCTTATTATCATCCAACCTTAACCTTTTTTAGGTAGCGTTATTATTGATTGCCCAATGCCAAAAGACATCTTGGTCAAGAATTAATCTTGCATAGAATTCTTAATTACGTAAAAACATTCTAAATTGAGTTTCCAAATGTTCATCTCACCTTTGCTCTTAGCCTTCACTCCATAACCCTCGGGCTCTCTTATCTTGACAAAGCTGCCGCCACAAGCCGCCTGGTGATCCGCCCACCAGAAGTCGTTGGGTCCTGGGGCTCGGTTCCTAGCTCGCTTCACCATGCCAAAGAACGGAGCTCGTTTCTGACAGGGACCGTTGCATCGCCACCAGTGCTGTTGATACAGCTTCACTTCCGCATGGAACGAATGATAGACCTGGCATGACAGAAAAAGAACCTGAATTTACAATGGTTAGGATTTTTACTGGAACTTCTGTGTCGTGTTTGAAACAAATTGTAAATTGGTTGGGTAAATTTTGGCAAGTGTTGAGAAGTATTGACATTTATAAAAGTAAACCACCTTTATTAATGACCAAAGCGGTCCATTTCAGTTAGAAAAAACATCCCTTAAGGTTGCAATTAAAAATAAAGTTAAATTTATTTGGACCGCATCGCTGAATGCTGTTTATGTCACCCTAAGTCTTTTGGATTAAAACAAGTCTGCGAAGGTGTCCATCCGAATTATTTACTACTGAAACGCTAAAATCTAAAACACCTTCTTTAAGCTTGTTTAATTTACCTAACCGCTGAAATAAATAAAGATTAGTCCATTTTCAAAGTTGAACACTTACTGATATGTTTGTTCCTGCCTCTTTGTTGATTCTGTTCATGTGTTTGTGAAACTCGGGGCCGTGGCCGTCTCTGTCTCGGTTGTTGTTCGTCACAAACAGATAAGCGTGGATCATCTCGTGCTGAAATTAAAATAACTAATTAAAGGGTAGACCTACAAGGTTTTCCATTACACCATGGAACAAGACTCTCGTGGGGATTATCATACATGTTAAGACTTGTTATTAATATTAGCCTACTTTTATCACGGTTAGTTTTTGAATATGAATATGATATTTGAATATGATAACAAGGCCATGATTCGTTAACGAGGGTATGTTTATTGAAGTTTCCTGTACTGAAGTAATATTTCAAGGTACCATAATCAGTAATTGATTTCTAACTCGGATTTTTGGTGGTATTATTTATTTACGCATTTACTAGACAAAACATACATAATAATGAAAAAACCCGTTTAGCTTAGAAGTGTTGTACCTATTTTACTTACCAACAATGTCTCCACCAGATCACTCCGCGGCCGTAACTTGAGGAGTGGTGCGCTCAGTCGTACAGAACAAAGTCCGTTGCGACCTTCGTAAACACAGACCCCAGCACACCTGTAAACACATTTAACTTACAATGTAAACCACAATAAATCTCATCTGGAAAACTCAATGTACAAGCTCTGTGTGTTTAAAGCTGTTTACAAACAACTCAAAAGTTAAACGCCACCCTTAAAAATTTAATTATAAGCATCAGAAACAGATACATTACCGGTAACCCTTCACAGTGGTCAATCCGTTTGGGGGTGGCATCTGATGACGAATTAGTGAACTATTTTGAACTAAGACTACAGCAAAGTATCTTTTTACAGCATTAGTTTTTTGATTTTTTACAGCTGTTCCCGATTGGAGTGATTGCAATAGAGACAGATGTATTATTTTATAATGTAAATACCTATACGTAGGTTGATCCTCTCCAAGGTCATAAACTCTAGAGATTCATTTAGTTTTAAAAATGGACCTAAAATTGAAGTTAATAGCCCCCTAGGTATTTTTGAATTCTGTTTTGATGATGAAATTATTAATTTAATAGTGACTAACACTTGCCGAACAGGACAAGGCAATACTATAAGGGATGGTTTGGCGCGATTTTGGGAAAAAACTACCGTAGCAGGTTCCGGGGGGCATTAAAAAGATCCTGCCTTGAAGAGTAATCTTTTTTTAATGCTACAAATACTAGGACATAATTCATTGTTCATTAGTTAAAATTGTATGTTTTAACTTTCATTCACAATTCTTATATTAATTGTCATGCAAATCAAAATTAATTTGTAATTAGGCCTATACTTTGACAAATTGTAATAGGCTAATGAAAAACGTGACATAAATACAACTTACGACGTCATTTGAGGGCTCCATTTCACTTCAACTCCAAGAAGACGGCCCCAGAAAAATCTGTCGTTGAAAGCCAAAAACAGGCCATGAACATCCGGACAGGGATCAGTCACTTCCCACTCAGGGTCAATGAGAGACGATTGGGGAGTGAAGCTTCGCCTAACTGGCGTTGGTAGATTCTCCTGAAACAATTGAATATCAGCTAAAGTTGTTCACACATACACCCAGATTTGTTACTTAAGCTACATTATACTTTGAATTCATTATACATTCATTATTCATTATACATTCTATTCTAATTCTATTCTAATTTCTTATCATGGTTAGCAGTGGATTTTTAAATCTGTGGATTGAATCAATAGGCTATTAATTTTGTTTCTCTACAGGCTATTAAATTAATATATTGAGTATTACTTTTTAAAACCAGGTCATCAAATAGTCTAGTAGCTAGGCTGGTGTCAAAGCCTTTGTTTTACAAAAAAGAGGCAAAATGTCTACTAACTTATCAATTTTTAAAATTGCACAAAAACATTACTAGAATTAAACTTAAATACTTACATACATCATGAAAGATTTGTAATTAGATCATGAAATCGAGTTTGAAATTACCTTCCTCAGTAACTAACCACTTACAACCTAATATGATTTTAATTGGGCAGTCCAAGAGCTTAAAAAGCCGAGACACCACATACCTTCTTTGGTTCATTGCTCTTTTTTGCTTCTTCATTAAATCTAGCTTGAAGAATGATAGCAAGTGCGTGGTCTGGATCGAATGAATTCATTTCTTAACGATGACTCAGTCCTGAAAATGTTGATTTACAATAAAATATTACGGAAAGTAAATAAAAGAAACGTCTTATAACACTTAAAACATATATTTACGCTTATACTGTTACTCACAAGACAGTAAATAGGCCTATACAAAAAAAAAAAAAAATGGTAAGTGGTGATCGATTTCGATTGGACACTCCAATCATCATCAGACCCAATAGGCGAATGATAAGAATCTTGAATGGCGTCCCTACTTACCCTATTGGCTACCGGAAGCACCGGCCAATACATTTTTATAAGTACAACTGGAATCAAAATGTATTTGTTCATTTTTTTTATATATATATTTAATGTCTTGTGAGTAACAGTATAAGCGTAAATATATGTTTTAAGTGTTATAAGACGTTTCTTTTATTTACTTTCCGTAAATTTAATAACACGTACAATGCTGATCAAGAAGTTATTTAATAAAATATTAATCTCCATTTTAAGGTGGGGTTCAAATCGATTTAAAAAACAATATTTTTAAGGTTTGGGCTGGATCTAAAACAAGTTAGTTTGACATTGGTATTTGGGATAAGTGACAGCTAGGCCTATTATAATGATGTTACCATAACAAAATCTTAATATCTGTTACCAGCTTGTATCACATCACGTAGGTCATCATCGTTAAAACAAACAATAATTATTATAGGTTCCTATAAAGTTATGCTGCAGCTAGGCCTACGATGTTCAAGAACTGACATGAACATGAAGGGATTTGATCTATTGTATTCTAAGTTTTTCACCCTAACCTATACATGAACTTACGTGTACAGTATACTCCTACCAGACGGGAAAGATTTCTCCCTTCGGATGGATTTTATATAGTTGGTATGACACAGGAAACCACTAACTATTATTTTCATTAATTATTTTATCACGAATAAAACGTATGACCTATTAATTTACATTTTACAGTTTCGATTCAACTACCTCTTTCTCTCCTCTACTTTGACAGAAATTTTTATTTTTACTTAAAAACATGTGTTTCAGTTTTCTGTTAGTTCTTGTTCTTAGTTTTTTAAAGTTCCCATAGTTGGTATAGATTTTTTACCCATGCAACTGCTTTGTTCATGCTAACTTTTTGAGTTAATTACTCGGTCAAAATCCAGCCAATCCAACATGTATTTTCCAATTTAGTTCAACGGTTTGGTTTATTAGACTATTATATAAAAATATAACAGTTATAGTAACTGAAATTAATAATAGTGCATCTTTAAAATCAGCTCACAAAACCACCTCCCCTCTGTAGTAACGGTCTCACATATTTGTTTAAAAAGGTTGTAGGGTATGAAATCAAGGTGAAATGTTTTCCTGAAGTATAAAAAATTGTTTGAAGTTTGTTTTGAAGTTAGTTTATTAATATAAAGATACATTTTAAGAAGAACTTTACAGTGTATTTGAACACTATAACTAAACAGGTTAATAATAGCAATAAGTCGTTAAAAGTCATTACCTGTAGTTGCATACTTAACAATATATTTTTTTAAGTTTCTAGCGAATTTCCCATATAGGGAATAAGTTATTTCTATAAAATTTCACACATTTTTAAAATACGTCAACAGCATTAATAATTTTCATCGAGGACCTTCATCATTCAAAATTTAAGAAAGTTACATGGGTAATAAGATTTGCCGTACCTACAAAAGGTTAAACAGCTGTTTGCTTGTAGTCTTCTGTCTTGTCGTGTCGTCTGTCGTCTTCTTTTTCGGTCGCAATGAGGGGAGGACTCGTAGTAGGACGATGACGTCATTAATTAGTTCAAATTTGTTCCACGGGCAGCACTTTAGTCAGGCAGCCGACACCGTTATGACGTCATCAACTTTACTTTTTTTAGGCTTGGCTTGATGTTTTGTTGATGTTGATACATCGATCGGTGCAGCAGAAGACAAGAGTTGCAGTTAGTGATGTAAAATACCCGGGTATTTAAAACTCAGGGTAAATACCCTGGGTATTTACCCGGGTAAATACCCAAAATCCATAAATACCCGGGTATTTTGGGTATTTATGAAATCGATTTAAATTAATTTATATTCACCCCTAAATATGTTATTGTTATCATTTCATGAATAATTAGGATAGTCTATAACACCTTTTACAGTAACTTGAAGCTTTGCTAGTAGGCCTACCTTTTATTTAATGATTTAGCAATTTTTTTTAAATAAAACATAAAGTTTTTAAATAAGAATGGGGTTTTGTTTTTTATCAAGACATCACCTCGTCAGAGAAATAGTGAACCTAAACCTACTTCTACTGTTATTAAATTATGATAGTTAAAAAATTTTATCGTATAAATGGCTTGGAAGGCTAGACAGACCTAAGGCACAATGGCAGAATACTAAAAGTAATTAAAAACTTTTCTGTGTTACCGCTTGGTTGGAAAAATAATATACAGTAGGCCTAGAACCTTGATAACAAGACTCTCATGGGGATTGTAAATAAGACTTGTTATTAAGGTTGACTTCTTATCGAGGTTTGTAATAACATGTGATTAGGGGTAAAATAATTTTGAGGGGATTTGACAATGACACTTGTTATCAAGGGCGACTTGTTATCGAGGGTCTATAAAGGTTCCACTGTATTTGGATAAACCTACTAAAAAAATGTATCTCCTGTTTTTCGGTCTAACTTAATATAGTTTTGAAAGATTTATTGTGCTATAGATTTAAATGTTTTGTATCACAAGTTTATGAAATTAGTTTTTTTATATTCCCAGATAGCACACAAACGAAAAATTCTCGTATTAATCACGTTTCCCTTGTACATTCGTAACGTGAATTTCACGTGCACAATTATTAATTTTACGTTTTTTTTTCATCATTTTACGGTGCAGATGACACAACTTATCACGTGAATATATCGTGAAAAAAAGGCGTGAAAATAACGTTTTAATTGCACTTTATTTTTACATATTTCACATTTTTCATGTAAATATCACATTTTTAGCTCATTGTATATTTACCTCTTTGAGCATTTTTACGTAAAAATAACAGCATATTTGTGTTTTTTTCACGTTAAAATATATTGTTTTTACAAATTTTTTACATTTAAAACCAACTCTTTTTACATTTTTCATGTAAATATCACATTTTTAACTCATTCTATATTTACCTCTTTGAGCATTTTTACGTAAAAATAACAGCATATTTGTGTTTTTTTCACGTGAAAATAAAGTTTTTGTACCACTTTTTTTTACATTTAAAACCTCTATTTTTTACATAAATGTCACATTTTTAACTACTTATATTTTGACCTTTTAAGAATCTTTATGTAAAAATAACAGCATATTTTTGTCTTTTACGTAAAACAAAATGTTTCTTTACACTTAAAATCAACTGCTTCACAGTACAACTGATTCAAACAAACATATTTTTAATATATATGTATAATATTTGTTTACACCCAAACGAATAAGTTTGTAGGATTAAAAACAATTAAAATACTTTACATTTCAAGGAAATCTATTTATTAATGACATTTCACATTGCCTCAGATGAGAATCCCCCTCCCCCCTCAAGATTGTTCAACTTTCCACACTGGTGATTACGCCGCATCCCCAACCTCCTGGCCTCCCTCAACTGGTTTCCTTCAAACAGAAAAAATCTAAAATAATAAATATTCATACACTCTCATTACATAGCCTAAATTCTAACTGATACATACAGTACTTCTATGCTAGCATGTAGGAAAAGGTATGTGATAACCGTATTTAAGCACACAAAGTAAATAATAGTAATAATAGAATGCAAATAACACAGTGGTGGCGATAAGAACCCGCGGCCCCCCCCCCCCCGCAAGTTTGTTCGCCGGGCCCCCCTCTACCAATGATCTTTAAGAACATTTTCCCATGTATTACCGCCTAAACTTGGAATTTTGCAATAAACTTGACAAGGCATCTCCCGAGGCGTCATTATCGTCTTCCATGATAGCTGCAAAATCGTAAATACTTCCCGTAGTCATAAGTCATGGAAGAAACATTATCATAGTTTACCGTGATTGCAAATGCAACCAAACCTATGACATAGATGGCAGCATCATCGTCTCCCGCGTTCACGGCCTAATATCTCCCCGCGACCCGTCGGTGGTGATGGGTAAATCATTTTTCCGTAATCGCGACTAAATCCTAGATATATCTCTCACTAAAAAAGAAACGCCATTATTGTCTTCCGCAATCGTGGTAAAATATTGAACATCTGCGGCCGAGGAGACATTGTCATTGTCACCCGCGGGGAAATGTTCTCGTCGACATCCGCGACCACGGCAAAAGCGTAGGCATGAGCGTGATCCACACGGATATAAAAGCCTTTTACTTTTAATTGTGCATTATTGTATTGAATACTGAGAAAATCGGCTCGAGCTTGATTTACTGACTTTGTGCTTGATCTCTCAAGCTTGTAGTCCAGGCTCTGCTTGGTTCGAAAATCGACATTATAGGCCAATTATAAAAATCAACCGTTTCCAAAACAACCCGATTTTGAACCGATCTGATTTGGCCTGAAGCCCTTAGCAACATAGAAAGAAACAATGATGTATTAAATTTTAACACGGTAGGTGTGGTTACGTGATGGCTGGCCTTGGCCGGTGGCTATGTGCTGCATGGTTGAGTGCGCAAAAACGCTTAAATTTAGTTACACCCAAATAACAGGCATATTATTGCATGTACTGTCAATATGGATGTAGTTTAACAAGAACCCAACAGATAGCAGCACTAAAAAAAACTGCTAGCAGGCCCTCAGTATTGCCAAATGAAGGGAAAAAGCAGGGGGGGAAACCCCGGAAAACGCCATAAAGGCGTCAAGCAATATAGGTTGGCATCCTTCCACACTACAGTATACAGTAATTATCATTATTCTATTCAATTTCTCTAAACCCAAGGCAAAACCCTACGCTGCAATAAATTTGGTACCCACTGATGAAATGGTCGGAACTGAAAATGTTCCCTGTGCAAGGCTGAGCTCACACTGGACAATACTTTAGAGTTACGAATGCTAGGTGGTTTAACGTCAGCCGCGCGCGCCAGTCCTGCAATGAGTAGGCCACACTCAACATGTTAAAACATCATCTAGGCCTATGCCCTGATTCAATCATACAACGGTTGATAAGAAAAATGTTTAACAGCAAATAAACAATTGCGAGCTTAATCCAAACTGTATGAAAAATGATTAATCTTAAAAAAAATACCTTTTTTGTTTACTCAGGAGGCGATTTGTGGATGGTCGGAGCCAATCTTTGATGCCGCCCTCTACAACCTTTTCCGTTGCTTCCGGAAAGGAAGCAATGACAGCTTCTAAAAAAAAGTTTTAATCAACACAAACTCGGTGAAAAAAAACCCATTAACTATTTACTATAGAGATATGTGCACTTTGTTGATGTGCGGTAATGAGAGAAACAAAATTGTGTATGATGACATTTCAAAAATTTAAAATTTGTAAGTTTAAATTTTTTTAAAGTAGACCTAAGGTTTCTTAATAAATTAGCAACATAATGAAGTAAAAATCCTGATTATAGGATGCATATCTGTCTCTATTTATTCTCGACCAAGACTACCTCAGATACCAGGAATCAATTTCCATCGTAAAACAGTTTGTTATTTCACTTTATACTGAGAGTATATCAGTAGAATTTTGCAAGTTTAACAAAATATTCTATCAACACGAAGCTGTGGCTAAGTATAGGCCTATATATTTATTACTATGCTAATTACTGTATCTAAAACATTTAAGCTGTACCAGCAGTCACAAATGAAACTAAAATGATAATGCCTTGCTAGCAAAAGATCAATTTAAACTTTGGTTTAGGAGCTTAATCAGGAGGTTAATCACAGGTTCAACTTCTGAAGCCCAACTAGGGTTGGAGAGCAAATTGTAATAAGAAAAAAATGTAAAAAAATAAGAACTAAATATTATTAATAATAAATTTTATAAAATTTTGTTTCTGGAAAAATGTCTATGTACATGATAGATTGATAGAAACATACTTGATATTGCCATTCTCAATTTGAGTCTTGAAAAGACCCTTTTTCCTTTTTGGCCAGCCCAACTATATAAGCAGGCTACCTCATCTGTAATGGAGGCGCGAAGGGCTCTCCTGCAGCAGTCAGCAGCGTTTGCTCCTCCAACTCTTACCAGATAGTTTATCTGTAGAAAAAAACAAAAATAAAGGCATGATCTTACTAATATTATAAATGTGAAAGTTTGTTTGTTTGTTTGTGTGTTTGAAGTTCAATAACGCTTAAACCATAGTGGATAGATTGAGCTGAAATTTGTCATTATGATAGCTTACATTCCTGATTATCATATAGGCATATTCTTATCTCAAAAATCCTTTCGGGCTCCGCCCCAGTGGCTCTGTAATTCCCCATGTTAACCTTATGAGTATCTATATATATTACTTATTTAATACGCAAGCAGATTATTTGTGACAATTACTCCTCCGAAACTACTGAACCGATTGTCATGTTTTTGGTGTCATTGGAAAGAGCGTAACCTGAAGTTGTGCAGGAAACTTTCTTTTTAGGGAAGTAATGAGAGAGTGAGGCCCTGCAGCCCTTTAAAGTTTCGTATTTCTCCATAAGCTTAACATTGGAAACAAAAATTGTTATAAAACTCCAGCTGTTGTCAGAAATCAAAAGTGAGAAGAAGAGCATATGTTAATTGTAAACAGTCAATAAGTTTGCTAATTTAACAGTTTGGGTACTTTCCTGTTAAAGGGAACATTCATTATTATCGATGATTTTTTCTCGATATATCGATATTAACAAATTGAAACATATCAGCTGACAACTACGCGATAAATATTGTTCAGTATCAACAAACAATAATGAAATGAAACTGTTCTAAAAAAATAACCTAACATAACTAACCAAACTCGCTGTAACATTTAAAAATTCCGTGTTTAACTTGCCTTTTCTATTATCAAGCCCAAACGGAATTTTTAAATGGTCCAGCAAGTTTGGTTGGTTATAGGTTAGCTTAGAAACAAGATCAGTTAGTTGTTGTCAATTTGTAATGGATCGGAAAATAAAAATATCGATATATCGAGAAAAAATCATCGATAATAATGAATGTTCCCTTTAACAGGAAAGTACCACAGTTTGCTACAAATATTTGCTGACTTGGTTGAAATTTGTTTTAAAATAACGCCTGTAATACTTAGCAATTGCTGGAATTCGAGCAACAGGGACACTAGTTCATATTTAAAGGGAATTAAAGAATTTACTCAGCTGTTTCAACTAAAAAAGTTGGTTCTATGATATGGAAAAGTACTAAAAAGTTATAAGATTTACCAACAGGGTGCAGCACTATATTTTTTTTTGCATTTATGAAAACAGCTAATTTGAACTAAGCAGCAACAAAAAACTGTGATTCACAATGAGAACTGTCAAAGTAGGATTGTTTACAGTTATGTTTGTTTTTCATTTCATGAATAATTTGTTCAATAAATATTAAATCAATAAATATTTGTTTTTACTTTTAATCCAAATATATAAAAGCTTAATTACTTAACAACAAAGAGTAGTAATTAATGTGTTATTAGAAGATTGTTGGAACCGATAAGGTATACAGAAATTAGTAATTCTTTCCAGCAAAATAATCAAAATCTAACGAGAGAGCTAATCAAGTTTAAGTTAAACATTGAAAAAGAATTTGAAATACTTACCATTTCAGTTTCTTTTTTTTTGTCAGCCAGGTTATCTTCAAGTTCATTTAACTCTTCAAGAGTTTTACAGGGCAAGTGATTAACAAATTCTGACACTTTTTGTGTCAGCTGGACTTCTGTAATCAATCTAGCTTGTTCAATATTTGCAATTTTTTCTTGGAGTTTGCTTAGGTCTCCCCTAATAGTCAATAGCATCTCTTTGATGAAATTTTGATTTCTTATGCATATAGTTTCAAATGCTGAAAAAAAAACAAGAGGTTTAATTAATAATTTTTAAAATAAAAACCATTCAGATTTGGAGGTTTTGATTCAGCCATATTAACAAAACAATTAAGTTTTAAGTACAAGGAATCTGCATGTTTGTGTTTGGATCCAGAATAATCAATATTCAGCAAATTGATTGACTGTTAGAAAAACGCATCATTAATGGTCATAGTTTGTACTTTGAGCTAAAGAAATTATGAGGCTACCCTTTTGATTGGATATGCTTATTTTTCAAGAAAAACAAAACCACTGTTCTTGCATGAAAAAAGGCTATGATAATTAAATATTCTAGTTCTGGCCAATGGGAAATACGTCAATAAATTAAACCAGACAATATAGAAGATTAAATTATAAATAAGATGAACATAGTTTTAGAGATAGAGATATACAAGCATATTTGTACATAGGCCTAAGTGGAATTACAACCTTAATAGCAGTAATTCAAATATTATTAAGCACCAGAAAACTTAATCTTCTGTTTTACATCATCTATAGTTAGAAGGTTGCATTTAACATCATGCTTTTAATCTGGTTGCTTTTAACCTCATTTAACTCTTAAAATATCTTAATTTTTGACTTACATTCTTCTGCCTTTTTGCCGGAATTGGAATCAGTTTTGGAGGAAGCTGGTGATTCAATATTATTTCTCCTATTCTCTTCAATTTTTGATTCAATGTGGGGTTTCTTTGGAGATTTTCTTGCATGCATGCTTGTATGAGGAAATGGTTTAGGTCTCTTCAACGGGCTCGTGTTTTTTTTTGACGTCTTCTCAGTTTGAGCCCAAAGACATTTTTTGGCTTTCTTTGATGAGGGTTCATCGTCATGAGATACACTCGAATTGAGGGAAGACTCAGATGAGGAAGGTGATAAGTTAAAATACTTCTTGTTTGGCTTTGCTTTTCTTTTTAAGTTGTCGTCAGTGTCTATATCTGACCTTGTGAGGGCAACATTGGCCCTCTGTCGAGCCTTCTGTACATTGTCTGAAAAATAGGCTAAATTAAGTGGGTGTGGTTAGATCAGTTGAAAATTATTCCCGCCTAGCCGGCAGCATAGTTACGCTTTATAGTAAAGGATACAACATAGATCTATGTAGTAGATAGATCTATGCAGATCTATGTAATGACAACTTCTAAAAGGCTGGCTCTTAACCCTCCGAGTGTCCCTTGTTTTGGCCTTAATGTCTGCCTATTTTTTGTTCATATGCAAGGTTTTATTAAAACGGATCTGAGAAGCTTGAAAACAATGTTAATTATACTGTTCTATATACGGTACCATTTTGTTTGGAAAATCATGGGCTTCAATATTATACATAGAACATAAGGAACATTTGTTTCAAAAAAATTTTTTAGCTAAAAAAATAGGCTATTTTGGAAAATTTTCAAAAAAATAAGTTAACGCTAAAATGAAATTGTATAAATTATAGGCCTATAAATATTTGAAAATAGCCACTTTGTTCTAAATTTTATGAGGATTACAAATATATAATAATATAAGGAAGTAGATTTGCAAATAAATAAGTTATGGGCAAAAAACAGATTTCAGTACATAGCGTTTAGCTAAGAATGCATAGCCTAGCCATAGCTAGGTATCTGGCTGATAATTTACATCAATATCACTACCTACTTCTTCAGGATCATCAGCCTTTCAAAATCACTTAAATCTTCTTATAATGCACCACGTACCTATATCACTACTTTTGATTTTTAACACTTAAACAATGATAAACGTAATAAAACACATCAGTCATCGGTCCGAGGTTAACCAAGCTGTTTACAAATACACACGTCAGCTGTCTGCTACAATATTTTCGGAACTAAAATGAATAGCGCTTAGAGACAGACCTCCGGATAAAGCTCCGAATCTGTCAAATAAAACGATACCTAACTCGATCCAGTTCAATCCTGCTCGAGATAAAACCTGCTTTCACTTCATCATCTAAAAATGATTACCGGTAACTTCAGTTTTTTAGAGCTTTTGTGAAGAAGACCATTTGATTTTGTTTAAATATATCAATTGTTTGTTTTACATTTGAGCTTTTAAGGGACTTGTGTCCCCACATTACACTAATGTCTAGTGTTAAAACAGTAATTCTTACCATATGGTTTTCCAATAATCCTGACATCGTACAGCTGCCATTCCCCATCCTCATCTGGCCTGACCTGCCCCTCAATAAATCGCTTAAGCTTATCTCTGGCCACTATAGGCCAAAAGCATTTGTCGTCCTTTACCCAACACTGGGGCACCACTTCAATTGTGTTGTTTTCTTGAAGAAAACAGGCAACCACCCACATTTTCTGAAACATTAGAAATTGTGAAAAGTTAGAATTTCTTTGTGTACAGCTAAAAGTCAATACCATCATTAAGGTCACTATATAAAAGTGGGAGAATGTAAAGTATCCCCTAAAATTAGGCCTAATTTAATTTATTAATTTCAGATAAAAAATAATAACTAGCATAATCGTTCTATAATCACGAACAATTTCTTAAATCAAGATTCTTAAGTGGTTGATGCAGTACGTTGTCACGACAGTATGTTACCATGATGAAAACTGGATTAATTTCTTAGCTATCTGTGAAATTTGATCAATTTTAACATTTCGTGTTACATTTATCAATCATTGAGATGGGGACACCACCTACAAGTTACTTACCAGTACCCCCTTTTTTTGGCGTCTTCAATGCATCAGCAATAGGTTTATGTGTGGATTAACGGCAAGGCAGCCAACAGATTTCTTTTAAAAGGAAGAACCACCATTTTTCTTTGAATTTCTTCTATTGGCCAAACTTTTAACTCCATTTCTTTTCTTTCAATTAAAAATATATTTATGTTTGATGATTTGAAGGGATTTTTGAACATATGTTTTACTTTTTGATAAATCTCACCAATTACTACAACAGAATTTTGTTGGGGTGAAAAGGCAAAATTTTGAATTCTAATTATTTCCTGGGTTTTTAACATGCAGAAGCAGTCCTTATTGTTGCAACTAATTTTGAAATTTTCTGTTTGTAGAGTTTTGTATTGTGGGCTAGTACATTGGTCTGTTAATGGGCCAGATTTGTGACAGTGTGTTAAGGGATGCTTTGGAATCGGTTTGGTTGTCAAGGCACTTTGGGATTTTTCCTTAAGTCGCTTGCATATTTGTTGCAATGGGAGGTGGTGTTTCCTCATGAGGGACTTAAGCACTTGCATGTGGTTTTCAAATTGGAAAGCGCTACACTCGTCTAGCGCTCCAAATGTAGAGATGTCGTCTGTAATGTGGAGGAGGCCATGAACATTGTGCGACACCAAATGTTGCCCATAAAGTTTCTTGAAATTGTCAACAAAAACTGCCAACAAATCCTTTGCAAACTCTTGATACTCATTGCATGAGTCAGGATTTAAGATCAAGTTCATGGCGGAACTTAGACACATGAAGTGTTCATTGATCTCTGCTTTAAATATGTCTTTATGTTTTGATAAAACAACCGGACCAGCGTACAGCAAAAAAAATCTGAGCTCAGTGGCTTTCCACCTGGCTAGTTCGTCAAGCCCCCGGGGTTTTCTTACAAATTCACAAGGTATAGAACAGCGGAAAGATTTAAGTGTTTGGTTTATTTTTGAAACCTGATTGCTGGAGAGCCTGTAGGTTAAATTTCCTTTAATCCATAGAGTTAACAGTTTCTTCACAACGCCCAAACAAACGAGATGCATATAATCTAATGGCATGTCTCGCACAACATCAAACCCAGGTATATTGATGATGATGCTTTCACCTATGTGATGTTCTTCTTGGGCTTGAATTACAAAATTATCATGAGTTCTTCTAGGCCCACTTTCGGTTGAAAAACACGTTCTTCCTTGGAGATATTTTCCCTCATCTGTGCACCTTGTGCAGGAAAAATATCCAGCGTGGCCTTTAGTTTGCAGAATGAATGCCTTTGCCGGGGCATCACACACAAAAGCTACATGTGACAGTTTGACTGTTTTTCCATTTACTTCTATCCCATTTTCAATGCAGAATTGTAATTCATCAACAAGGTAACTCAAATACTCATTGCAATTGTTCGGCTTTTGATTTCCATGGTAAATGCTAATGACAAAAACAGGAGAATGGGGCAATGACCGGATTTTCCCTAACTGAGGCCATAGCTGGCTCCCCGAACTTTTTGAAATCGGCAACCCATCTGCACCTACAAGCAAATCAACTTTTATGGGCACATCTTTTTCTTTCAAGAGTATTTCTCTTATATTTTCTCTAACACCTAAGTACACAAAATTACCCCCACAAAGTTCCTCAATCTGTATATTTCTGGGGGTCTTTAAAATAGTCCGAGCGTCAACTGGAAGACTTTTGAAATCTTTATGTTTTCTTAGGATTTTTGCCATTGAAGAAACCTTAGAGAGTGCAATATTTTCTGTAACAGCCCAGTTTGCAAAATCTTTTTTAAAAGTCTCTAGGGTCCAAGGCTCTGTGGAAAGATCCATATCCGAATCTGCATTAGGAAATAATTGGGGATTTTGCCTTTCTTCTGGTACTTCTTGCAGGCTAGCTGAGGAGTGGGAATCATCTGACAAACATCTCTCTCGTTCAGGACTTTCTTCAGCGGTACTTGGAGTTGGAGAGGAAGCTGTCGGCTCCTGGGCAGGTGCCTGCTGGCTACTTTCACCGAGGGATATATCAGGGTCATTTTGTCCATTTAGTAAATTTAAATCACGTTCCCTTCCTCTTTGTACCCTCCTATAAAACTGCCGTGTAAGTTTTGGCCGTTTGCTAGAACTCATGGTGTTCACACCTAGTCTATTGCCTATCAACGTGAAAACCCCTAAAAAAAAAGGTAGGTATGAGGTTCGGTGGTAGGAATGAAGTGAGGGAAGTTCAGTTAGATTAGTCTGACCCCCAAGAACCAAAACACAACAGAAGTTCATATAACTTACTGTTGTCATGTACCTTACGCTAACCACAGTGAGTGTACTGTCTATGTGCATGGAGTCAAATATAATTTGACTGTGTCTCATGAATTTAATGTCTGTAGATGAATAAATATCATATCATTTCATACATCAATCATATCTTTGATAACAAATGGAAATACGTTTAGAGCAATAATTCAGGTTGGTAGGTATTAACTTAGGCCTAACTTACTTGTGTTTTCAGATCTAAATTTAATGGTGTCAATTACCCTGCTATTTTTAACCTACTCCCCAACCTTGGGTACAGTTCCGCAGAAAGCCTGTAATATGTAGGGGCCTAAACGAATCAAATATAGATAAGTTACTATCGAATAGGTATAGATTTTTATTAGGTTACGGTGCAATATAAATATCACATTGAATTAAATGTCACCATATGATATTAGTAAGAATAAGCCTTTTAAACGTTTAACTTAACTTATAAGTTAAAACATAGCCTACCTATTATTATTGTTTTTGGTCAGATAAGTAGGCCCTGCTGATAGGCTACCTAACTCAATTTAATATATTAAACATCAATACAAACTTAAATAGATCATTAAGTTTTAAACTTAAGCCTGCTCAATTTGATGATTACATTTAAAAGTTATTTATTAAACATTGATAGAAATGTAAATAAATCATACCAGACCAGTTCTTTATGGTTAGCTTGTATTTATTATCATTGCAATCTCCGCCATCTTGTTAATTTTTGATAAATTAACTTAGGCTAATTTAGTACCAAACTGTATTAAATGGAGAAACCGTTGGGATAAATAAAATAAACAAATAGATGAGTAAATTAACCAAATCTAAGTTATTCATGAATTTTATAGGCCTTAAACAGTTAAAATCTGGAACTAATTAGGCCTAAGTTAAGTTAGCATACAATCCTCCAATCATTCCATAAAGTTTGTGATTCTAACTAAAGTGTCCTTCACAAAAATGCTTTAGGCTAGTAAGTTAAGTTGGATTACCTAGCCTACTTAAGTTGAACTAGTCTTCAAGAAAGCTCTTCTTGATATTCTTGATCGCAGAGGATAAGTTAAGCGTCTGGTTAACCGAACGTGGATGGATTAGGCGTCCGGCAATGACGTCAATGGGTTGTGGGGGCCCGGAACACCATTATAAGTAACCACAACGATACAAAGTACAGCCAACTGTGATCGTGGTGTAGTGGATAGAGTAACTTACTCGGCTGATGTACAAGAGGTGAGGTAAACTTATCTAGATCCAATCTCATTGATGACACTAACTTTTTGTCTAAGATTTTGCTTAAAATTCCATTTCTTCTTAACTTTACATCTTTTGTAAGCATTTTAGGCATTTAAAATTTTATTTTATGAACAGAATTTAACCTTCATTCAATTCTTTAATTTATCAGTAAGTTTTGTTAGTTAGGTTAGGTTATGACAGTAATTATGACTGCCAGACGCTTAATCCACGTCCGGTTAGGGCCTACTGTACACGTATCCTCTGCCATTCATGATATTCTAATATTCAACCCAATATTCAAGTCACCAGCTCAGTAATATTGAGTTGAATAACCCACAATTTAAAATAAAACACATCACTATTTAACTTACCTAGGTCTATTTACTTAACTTAAGTATATAATTAAAATTCACAAAAATTGTAAAAGATTGGCTTGAAACGAATCCTTTTTATGAAACTATAGAATTTTTTGATGCTCTGAAGGCTGGCCATTGTTTTTAGTTTGTAATTTTACTTTTACACTCAGGTATGTGTCACAATTTTCATTTTCTTTTGTTTGCCATAACTGCATGGTTTTGCTGTTTTGTTTGCTGTGAAGATTAACCATTTTTTATTTCAGCATGGTTTGTAATGATGAACATTCAATTATTTATATGCATTGGTTTGTTTATTTTAGAATAGTTTGACGTTACCTATTGTATTTATTTACTTAATGGTATAATAAATCTCTTGAATCTCTTGAATCTCTATATATACGATATTTTTAATTTCATGGGGCCTTTTGCCAGCTTGGCCTAGCCTATGGCATCATCTGACACCACAAAAACGAAGGTTAAGTTATGTAAATTGGTATTAGGTTAGGATAGACTTCCGTAAATTAGGCTATCTGTTGTCATAAACAACCGAATGAAAATAATGTTACTTATCGATTGTTTCATTCAATAGCCTAACTTACAGCAAGTTATCGATCGTTAGGTAACGATTATTTTATCATAGGAATAAGTTAAGTTATGAAATAATCTGAAATGAAATGAAATTTATTTTCCTTTTCTATTTAACTTTTAACTTACTTATCGGTCAATATTTTCATTTGGTTGTTTTTGACGACAGATAGGCCTAAGTTAGGTAAGTTACGGAAGACTAAAGTACCTAATGGATACTTTGGCCTAGTAAATAATGATCAGTAGAGTCCCGAAAACTCGGCTCTCGATAGCCCGGCAGTCTGGGTAACTCGGTCATCACCTGGCTCAGAAAATTAGTGATTTTTTTAGTCCGAGTTAAACATGGACTCAAGCCAGCTAAAGTCAAATCATTCACAACTCGTACCAAGGATTTGTTGAACAATATCTGATGACTTAATACTGACTTGTAATATAAATATTAATAAAAAAGGCGGTTAAAAGCTTAAAAATAGTATTGTTCATATTTTTAACCATAGATCCTGATAACCCGGCATTTCACAAAGACGGCACCCTTTCAGTCCACATTATGCCGAGTTTGCGGGACTCTACTGTAATTGGTCCAGTTCAAAATGTAACATTAAGTTACTAAATTTCAAATTTACAAAGTAAGGCTAAGTTAACTTCATAGGCCTAAGTTATTTCATTTTTTAATATAGGCTAACTTAGGCTAGGCTATAATAGCCTAATTTATTTTTGTAATTTTACTGAAATGTAAGCAGAATACCTACTTTATAACTTATGTTTAAAAACCCCACGTTTGATTTTTACCTTTAGTTTTGCAATAGCCTATGTATTATGATGTCAGCATTAATTAACTCAGGCCTAGCTGGCGAAAGGCCTCATGAAATGAAAAATGTAACTTTAGCCTACTTAAGTTAGGTAAGTTGATTACCGTACCTTATTGTTGATGTAATTATTTTAACTTATATTCTAGTGGATTGTTTCAATTGATATTAGCATAGCCCAGTTAAGAAACTGTACCTGATCAGCTCACGAAATATTCTCTCTTATAAATTAAGTTAAGTCTACAGTCTCTAGCCATTTAACTTAGGCCTAATTACGTTAAGTAAGTTTTAGTTGTGGTACTTTTTGTTCAGAGTCATATAGGCATAAGTTTAACTGGTACAATTATATTTAAACTATATTAAACGTGATTAACTTAACCTTTCGAATGGCTGGATAAGTTAACCTTGACAGGTAGGTTGAAATGAAATGTCTTACCTTGCTTTAATTGCTGCTGAGTGCTGATTTGACACTAAACTAATGGAAAACGATCACTTAAGTTAGTTATCAACACGACACAGATATTAAACAAGCAAATTGCAAAACTCAAGAGAGTCAAAAGCTCAATCATCAAAACAAAATGGCAAAATGGCGAGTGACGAGTTCGACTTTCTTTCGGTCGGCTTCGGCGGTCGGCCCGGCGTCCGTCAGGAGGGTCCAGGGAACAGAGAAAGGATGTCGTGCGCATGCGTCAAGTGAAAGACTTTTACTGGTCCATTCCAACCGCGAAAACGCTCTGCAATTTGAATGTCATCCATCTATCCCTCGTTCTGTCGTTAATTTTATTTATTTTAATAGAGAATCACATGATTTTGGAAAATAAATTATACATTCTGATAGTCTTTTTAGAGCATAATACCATTGACTTACGAAATTATTTTCATTTGAAAAATAATATGCAAACTTCACTAGATAAAGATAGAAATATGTTTCATGCAATGAACACAACATTTTTAATGACATAAAAAATAAAATAAACATCCAATTCATCATAAAAAGGGTTCTCAATTTAACATACAACTTTGAAATCTTAAACATCTTTATATAAGATTTTTTTTTTAATATATCAAAAAAAAATTTTTTATGTGAAAATTAAATGTTAAAATTTCATTTTCAATTTCACATTTTTTTATTTTTACATTTTTTTCATCATTTTTATGTGAAAAAAATATGTGGATTATCACTTTCACTTTTTTCACCAATTTTCTCGTAAAAAAAATGTTTTTTTCACATTGTGTGCTGACTGGGATCCTTCTCAACAGTGCAACTGATTAAAAACTACATTTTTTGTGTGTTTTAATTTACGTATGTTATTACTTGGCCTACATGGGCTCTCTAGTAGCCTATATTATTTGTTTTGTATTGTAAATATAGATAATATAGTATACGTAGGGTGGGTAGGCAACATTAAACACGATGTCAGGTTATCCAACTAAGTTAAAAAGATACACCTGAATGTTTCGTTTAAGTACTCTAGCATACTATGCTATGGTTTCCTAGACGCATAATAGATGCGCTGTGGTTAAAATACGCTGCGGCTTTTATCTAGGTCTCAAAACGCAGCCGCCGTAAGTGGTTTCCTAGACTGTGTACAATACACAAGGTTGGTTTGTTACATATGTTCACGGGAGAGATTTTACTAGTGGCTACTATGATGTTATACAATGATTTAGATAATGACATGGGTATTTTGGTATTGGTATTACAACCTTCCAAGTACCGTAGTGTAAGCGGTAAAACGTATGATTATAGTCCTCGCCACCCTAAGTTGAGGCAGCGCAAGGCCGCACGGCGTATATCTAGTGCGGCCTTTGGCTGCCTCAATTTAGGGTGGCGAAGACTATAGGAACTGTATGTGGCCCTCACAGATGTTTTAACTGTAGGCCTAATATTACAGCAAACGTATCAATTTAAAATCTTAATAATAAATCTTAATTTACTCTCTCTAACTTTGCCTTTACTGTTATCCTATATATAATACGAGTAAAGTTTGAATACTTGTCAACTCGATCTGGGAATCGGCTCTAACAAAAACGTTTATATTTACGGAATAACTAAGTTCTGTGTCAAAAATAAGTTCTAGACCAGTGGTATAGCCAGGAAAAATCTATTTTCGCCATAATATGAGTACAAACTTTTGAAAATTTAACATGGGCCTTATGAGAAAACATTCCGCCATTATTGTCATTTTGTTTACATTTTAAGACATAACGTGACGTTCTGTACCCACGGGCACCTCAGCTTGCGCATGCACATATGGCCTATTTACAAAAGACAGTACAAAAGAAAAGGAGTCCGATGAATACCATTAAGCGTTGATTAACAATACACCGATTCGCATAATTTCTGGTGGCCTTACTGAATTATTCCAAGCAGATTATTTCGTTTTATTGTTGTTATTAGTTTTGTGGTAGGCCTAAATATTAGTCCGGAGTGTGGTAACTGTTTATGACGATTAGATTAAGGTATCTACAATCCTAAAATGCTATGGGAAGGAAGGAAACAGGTCCGCGGCGTAGGAAGTGGTGAAGGAAGTAGTAAAGGCGAGTAGTCCGGAGTGTGGGAACTATTAATGACGATTAGATTAAGGTATCTGTTATCCTAAAATGCTATGGGAAGGAAGGGAAACATGGTCCGCGACGAAGGAAGCGGCGCAGGTCCGCGGCGTAGAAAGTGGTGAAGGAAGTAGTAAAGGCGAGTAGTCCGGAGTGTGGGATCTATTAATGGCTATTAGATTAAGGTATCTGTTATCCTAAAATGCTATGGGAATGGAGGGAAACATGGTCCGCGACGAAGGAAGCGGTGAAGGAAGTAGTAAAGGTGAGTAGTCCGGAGTGTGGGAACTGTTTATGACGATTAGATTAAGGTATCTACAATTCTAAAATGCTATGGGAAGGGAGGGAAACAGGTCCGTGGCGCAGGAAGTGGTGAAGGAAGTAGTAAAGGCGAGTAGTCCGGAGTGTGGGAACTGTTAATGACGATTAGATTAAGGTATATGTTATCCTAAAATGCAATGGGCTGGGAGGGAAACATGGTCCGTGACGAAGGAAGCGGTGAAGGAAGTAGTAAAGGTGAGTAGTCCGGAGTGTGGGAACTGTTTATGACGATTAGATTAAGGTATCTGTTATCCTAAAATGCTATGGGAAGGGAGGGAAACAGGTCCGTGACGTAGGAAGTCATGATGGAAGCAGTAAAGGTGAGCGGTCCGGAGTGTGGGAACTGTTTATGACGATTAGATTAAGGTATCCACAATCTTAAAATGCTATGGGAAGGGAGGGAAATAGGTCCGCGGCGTAGGAAGTGGTGAAGGAAGTAGTAAAGGCGAGTAGTCCGGAGTGTGGGAACTGTTAACGACGATTAGATTAAGGTATTTACAATCTTTAAATGCTACGGGAAGGTAGGAAAACAGGTCCGAAACGTAGGAAGTGGTAAAGGAAGTAGTCAAGGCGAGCAGTCCGGAGTGTGGGAACTGTTTATAAGGATTAGATTAAGGTATCTGCAATCTTAAAATGCAATGGGAAGGGAGGGAAACAGGTCCGCAACGTAGGAAGAGGTGAATGAAGTAGTAAAGGCGAGCACTGTGGAGTCTGGGAACTGGAAACCAATTGTAACAGTTCGATTTCTGTATCTGAAAGTGAAATACTGAAATGCTATGAGATGGGATGGAAAGATGTCCAAGACATAGGAATTAGTAAATGCTAGCAGTGCGGAGTGTGGGAAATGTTGTTGGCAATTAGATTAATGTATTTAAAATACTAAAATGCAATGGAAAGAGATGACAACATGTCCACGACGTAGGAAGTAGTAAAGTTTAGCATCGCAGAGTGTAGGAACCGTTTGTGGCAGTTAGATTAATGCATCTCTAATACTTAAATGCTATGAGAAGGGAGGGAAACAATGACGTAGGAAATGGTGAAGGAAGTAGTAAAGGCTGGCATCGCAGAGTGGGGGAATGATTTTCCCCGAGCAAAGCTCGGTCTCCAGGTACTTATTTACCTATTTGGGAGTCGATGAAAATACCTTTTACAATATACGGTACTATTTATGTATTTGAAGAACAAATATGTAAACTTCTGTTATAATTAAAAGGGAATTTACTATGGTATTGCAATAAAATTGGGAATGTTCTTGTGGCCTAGGCTACTGATGAGATGACAATAATTAATATCTAGGCTTATTACCAAGATGTTCAGGGGTACTTAAAATAATTATGAAGGCTCTTAACTGGGGAGTTGGTGTTGTGCTGACTTGAAAAGAACATTTGTCAAAATTATAACTACACATTACGGGAAAATCCCTACACAACGAATGATATGAAATGTAATAGGCTACTATAAAAATTCTAATAGTATGAAGCGCACTTCCATAGTATATCGTAAGAAGAGACAAATTCGATCAATTTGTTGTCGTTGTTGGAGAATTTAGCCTTCTAGACAACATTTACTTCTGACTCCATATTGCACAAAAAAATGTCTGTCACGCAGTGTAACTCAATCTTGACTGCTCTGAAAGCATGTTAATATTAAATGACATTAAACAATTCTTTCAGGTAGGTAGTAACGTACATGGTGGAAGTAAATAAGGTGTGCTACTCAGCCGGACGAGTTTGAGACCGTTCTGCGCATCTCGGCATGACGTCACCTTGGGGGCAAACCGCTTCGCGCGCGTATATAGCTCAGCGTGACATTGCTCTATTAACATCAACATTTTGAACTGTTAGAATCGAGCAAAAATTATGAAACTTGACATGGACATCAATTATAAGTGGACGATGCGTGTTGTGAAAAAATAGATTGTAATTGTTAAAAACTCAAGCATGAAATCACTCTTTATACTTGGTCTTTCTTAAAACTAAACATGCGAAAGTTAGTCGGCTACTAAATCACGTACTATTTGGTTAGAAGGATTTGACCAGCGGGAAAGTTTTAGATAAAGATCCAAATTTAACTTTCCTTCAAACTGTATACCGTTACAGGCATTATTTCCTGAGATATGCTAAGTTATATGAGCGCGTGATCGGAGCGCGTGCTGCGAGTCGAGCCAGTTGCCAAGTATTAATCACACATTGCCATCCAACAAATAATGTAGTTTCATGAATATAGTATCATTGATATTTTTATTCCTGTATTTATATTCTTATGTGAAAAATTGTTGTTCTGTTGACTTCAGTGTGTTTTTCCCCGTTTGAATATGGGATATTTCGTAATAGTTCACAGAGAATATATAATATTGTCTCCTCGGTGAATAGGGTTAACATTGCCAAATTGCATTTAAAGTATAGCAAATGGTTGTTGATTAGTTAAAACCAAAGTTTGCAAATAGTGGTTTAAATAATAAATTATCTTTAACGCAAAGGAATGTATTTAACGTAGTATATAAAATAAAATGTACTCTGTTAAAAAATAAGTTGGTGATTAAACATTGTATTTATAATCAGGTTAAAATATAAAATTTTTCACTCTTGCAATACCATGATAATAAAATGTGATATTCCAGTTTAATTCGACAGCTAGGATCCTATTTCACTGGGGTTGTTATCTATGTCGCAACTTTGGCTTGGTGCGGGGGTGTGTGCGGGGGATGATCACGTGATGTTTGTTTTGTTTTCGTTTCTGTGTTCACCGCGAGTTACAGTAGATGTCAGTTTCCCATAGG